CTTAACAACTTTTCAAGATTTTTTCCAATCTGCAAAAAAATCTACAAAACGAAAAAAATGCAATCATATTCTTTTTGTAGGGAATATCAAGTTTTTTCTCATATTTTAAGAGAATGTTCTTTTCTGCATGTATGCAGTGGAATTTGTGTTTATGGTTTGTTTTTTTTCTTCTTTTATATGGTAGGACAAACTTACAAAAAAAAAACTTTGAGAAGCTTTTGAAGATGTAGAAAACAAAGAACCACAGTACTCAATTATAATGTGGCCTGATAGATAGTATTCCAGTTTACCTTAAAGATTGTTGTTAAAGTTTTGTTTTCAAAAAAGCTGTACTTTATTCTAAAAAAGGTAAAATTTACGGATTAGAGTGTAAATTTTAAAGATTTAAGTGTAAATTTTACTGACAATAGTGTAAATGTTACAAATTAAAATTGTCGAAAATGAAAACTAAAAAAGTGCCTAATTGGCGCTAATACGTATTCATGCATTGTTATGCATTTCTCTATATTTTTTTCAAACAAAAAATTTTTCATATGATAAAAAGTGCAAAACAAAGAAAATTAATAAACAGAAATTTAATGTCTACTTACAAAAAAATTATCTTGAGAAGTCAAACAAAAATAAGATTACCAGAAAATAATTCCCTCTAATATCTAGAACAGCATTTATCAAAAATTTTCAAATCATTTATTTCTGTCAATAAAAAAATATATTGAGACTATAAAATACTCTAACTCTGTATACCATCTTCCAAGAAAGAGGCAATGCTGAAAACTACACATGCGATCACAATGATCATGATTTTATGGGATCGCATGCGTAGCTTTCTTCAATTACTTGTCAAAAATTAAAAATAAAGTTATGGATTCTTCATAAAACATGGATAAAAAAGAACTGTTTTTAAGTATAAAAAGTTAAAGGAAGAGCGGCGTGATATCTACATAAAATAATCAATGTCAATATTCCCATGTTAAAATTTTTCTTGAAATATTCTTAGAAAATATTCTAGAGTGACTAAGGTTTGACAGATACATTTGATTTCAAATAGAAATTATACAATTGGATATATAAATATACACAATATAGCGAATTTATTTTAAATGAACATTAGTCTAAAAGTATTGATATTTACTCTGAATTTTAGACGTTCAAAGAAAGTACGAACAAAGTTAGAAGGGATATATAAACGCACTTATGTGTGTGTGTTCGGGGGAAGTAGTACTTTTGTTTCCTTTTTGTGTAACGGAAGTGGCGTAATTTGCATCGGGATCGATGTTGAATGCTGCCTTGATTCAATCGGCAATCCTCGGCTGACTCCGCTACGCTTCATTCAAACAATCCTCGGCTGACTCCGCTACGCTTCATTCAAACAATCCTCAGCTGACTCCGCTACGCTTCATTCAAACAATCCTCGGCTGAATCCGCTACGCTCCATTAAAACAATCTTCGGCTGAATCCGCTCATCTTCGCTACGCTTCATTCAAACCTCGGATGTGATTGGTGGAGGAATACGCATCAGGTCGATACATTTCTCCGCCGGAAACTGCCTTGTCACTCATTTCATATTTCGCTCTGCATAAATTTCTTCGAAAAGGTTTCTTAATTTGTCTAATTCTTCATTGTAAATAGGTTTTTATTACAACCTTATGTAAGTAGGGTCTGAAAGGATTAACAAAGTGTTGGCCTTGCCACAGAGTAACTCATATTTCAATTATGACATTTCAAAGAAATTCAAATAAGATCACATGACTGAATCAGCAAGATGGTAGAACATCTTCGACGTCCGAGGTTTTGGGCGAGGTACGAGTCATCTGAGGAACTGCGAGTGATGCTTCCCTTTGCGATGCCCTTGTTCTTTTAACTAATTAGTATTTTTAAAGAGTTTTTTTTCTAATAAAAATATACATGTATTTGAAAACTTATAAAATAATGTTTTCGCTTTACATGTCTGAAGAAGATATCTGTCACTCGACACCGAGATTTCTGCAATTTAAATGATAAAGAATATTGAAATGAAACATTTAACCAGAAAAAAAGTTTTTTTTCTAATCATTTAAAATACTTAATCTTTCATTGTCGTCATTGGTCATCTGATATCCAGATAATAAGCGTGGCGGTATTGAAATATGAAATATACTGTATTTTTACTCTGTACAAATTATAATTTTTTTTTGAGACTGGCCTCTCTTTATAAAAATGTAAAAAAAGTGTAAATTTAACAAGCTAATTCAAAACGATGTTTTTTGTAGAATTATTAAATGTATATGTATACTGAAGGAAATAAAATACATGTATGTCAATATTCATACAAAGATTTGATTGCTTATTCTTTATTATGTGTATAGAAGATTTTTTTATATGGAATATTTATCACACTGTAATAATGATTTTATAACCTCATAAATTTTTCATTTCACATGCTGAATACTATCATTTAGTAAAAAAAAAAAGTATTTAAAAAAAAAAAAAAAAAGGTGAAATGAAACATTTAACCAGAAAAATACACCACGGTGTTTTTTAATCAAAAGTATTAAAAAGTCACTACATTATATATTCATGTTTTCTTTCATTTTCTCAAAATTTTACACAATCCATGGTGTTTGATTTATTTAGCCTTTATTAAACAGTTCTAATAGATGTAATAAGAACATAAAGTCCGCCGAGAACCTGTTTTATACGCAATAACTATCCTCATGCCCCTGCGCTAAAAATAGCGCCATGTAATACTATAAATACTAATAAAACAAACGGGGCGGGGCACTTTGAGAGGGGCGAGAGACGTCCTAGGGTTTTGGTATAAAATTACATTGCATAAGCTCAAAATCTTCTTGAAATATCGCCTGGAAATGATAGTATTACATACAGACAGAATGTATAAATTTACGATCTTGAACTTTGACCTTTTGACCTCAAAATCAATAGGGGTCTTCATTAGGCTACAGGGAGTTGTTATATAAAATTTCATTGCAATAGCTCTGGTTCTTATCGTGTGGAAAGATTTTTACTTTGCTTATTTATGACCTTGACCTTTGACCTTTTGACCTCAAAATCAATAGGGGTCTTCTTTAAATTTGCTAAAATTTCATTGCAAAAGCTCAAAGGGTTCTCGATGTGTGGAAACGAAAGCGTTAAAAAAAAAGACGGACGGACGGACGGACAGACGGACGGACGGACAAACCCAAATTAATATCCCCCACTTTTCAAGCGGGGGACAAAAAAAAAATATGTTCGATAGAAAAAAAAATGGAATTGATGTAAAACACAAAGATATTGAGTCTCTAGGCATGGCCAGTTCTTTTTTTTTCTTTCTTTCTTTTTTGGGAAAAGAGTTGTTGTTCCAGTAAAAATGAATTGCAGCAGTTGAAAAAAAAGATAATGTAATGAGTAGGTTTCAATACTTAAGCTGTCAAAATTCGGCTTCAGTTTATCCCATTACACTAAAATGCATTTATATTTACCTAATTATAGAAGAGTTTTCGTTCCCAGCAGGAAAGGAATTCGATTGTCATTTCATCGCATCAATTTGCCTTTAAACAAGACGGTAATATGAAAAATAAACCTATTTGATTTGATTAAAATTAAGCATAATCTGATACAATCTGCTAATCGTCTAGGGCGCAGCGGGAACGCGCCGCGCGCTAGCTTCGGAAAGAACTCGTCTGCTGTAAAAAGCTGACCTTTGAAGAAGCCGTCAAATTGGGAAAATATAACACCAAGAGACGAAAATAATCTGATACCAACTTTCAGAATATCCAATAATGTGTTGGGCTTGCTTTTCCCAAAATTCAGATTACGGAATTATTGCACAATATCGTCTTTGCAGAATACATTTTCTGGCAAATTTTGTCCCCGGATATTTCCTTATCTTTTGCGCACACCTCCCGAAGAGTTTTCTAATGCTTTATCGCTCCCTAAATCGTCGTGGCGGCGAAATGGTACACGGCGCTCTTCAAAGCTCACCCAAACGCGTTTTATTTCAAATTGGCGATGAAAAACATTCAGGCTCATTTCTCATTTATACAAAAATTGTATCATTTAAAACGGATTAAGATTCATTAATTGCTTCATTATTAATTTTTGTAGTTCATTATTTTCTCTTTATCGTGCTCTCTCTCTCTTTCTCTCTCTCTCTCTCTCCAATTTACTGAAATCTGCTGCCACAAAAAAAAAAATATTGCACACAGTTACTCGGGTATCATTTCGAATGAAAGGAAAAGCTTGATTATCTAAACGGATGTTGAAATGTTTAGGGGCGATTTGTATATCGTATTTTATCACCATATGTGACACATCCATAGCTCAAAATGAATCAAAACGGTTCTATTTTCTTTCACTATATAGATTCTATCATCTGATATAACCCCGATTTTTAAATATCTGTTTTAATTGTGTATCAAATTCATTGTTTTTTACGAAATAAACCAACACTGTCAGTGACAACTGTCACGTGTAGACCGAAGCCGATTTCAAAACAACAGATGTATATCCGGATTTGCTTTTTTATGGGGTCCATTACAAAATTCAACCAATTGTGAAAATACTTAATAAAAACTAGACTCCCAAGTGTTTTAAAAAATAAATGTGAATTTAAAAAAAATACCGTTTTATAGATGTTTCGTTTCATTGTCTTTCTTGTAGTAGTTATCAGATAAACCCTGAATAACTTTCAACCCAATGTACTGCAGGTTTTCTTTTAAACAAGAAATCTTCATTAGTTATAAAGTGGAATTTTATAAAGTTTATTTTACAGAATATTAAAAAAATTTTGCTTTTAAAAAACAATATCATGGAATAGACTTGTGTTTTATGTCTGAATGCTATAGTTGTTTTGCAGTTTCGTATTTCTTAACCTTTTTAAAAAAAATCAGTCAAAATTGGCATATCCTTGCTTCCAATGCTTTAAATCAAATGAAAAACACTTCTTATTTGCAGTAAATAAAGCTAACTAAACCTATATTTTCCTTCTTAATTTATATTGTCCTGAAAACAATACTCAGTCGTTATTCTATTTCATATCAACAATTTATTTTCTTGAAAAATGTTGCTATGATCAACAAACATTTCACAACATGGAATCATTGGTTTTATGACAATTTTACAGAAAACCGATTGACACGGGAACAATGATGCCTGAAGCAAAAATTAATACATAAAGATTTAATTCTATTTTTATTATTTAATGCTGCTTAAGTAAAACAAATTAATAACAAAAAAAGGAAAAAAAAATTAAATAGCACCATTAACACAAGCAAGAAACTTAAATTGTGTCTTAGAAAAAAAACAAGCTAAGTCCATGACTTATTATATTGTAAAAAAAAAACGAATCAGTCCTTCCATTTAGAGTTAATAAATAGAACTATATTTTTATGATAAGTCATAGCATATTTGACACAGGTAAACAATAAAAGAGTAATACACATGAAAGGAAAGACATCATAACCTGAGAACATGACATTATCGACAAACATTACACATAGACAATGGACATTTTTGTATATTTGCACACTTCCCGCATTGCTCAACACACCTAAAAAGATATCTACAATTAAATCCCCATATAACCTAATTTTAAAGCCAATCAAATATTTTTTTTCTTTTCGATCCTTCTTTCAACCAATCAGAACACTTCTTACAAAGTGAAATTTCAGCTGTCTTGTAACGATTGATTAGTCTGTTGAGAGTGAGCACTATAGACAAGTTTCGTATTGACTGCAGTCCATTGTACACAAAAATCACGCAGCGGTGACAAATTTCTGAAATTTAATCCACTTGCGTCTTTGTTCTCTAGCACTGCCCAGATAATTAAGACGGTCGTTAATGACAGACCTCATATTCATTCTTTGTTGAGCGGCATGTTGCACTTAATTGAACCTGCGCGTCATCATAGACCCGAACTACCATGAAAACGAATATGTTTCCTAGCAATTATGAACAATAACGTCTTCATTTTTCCATAGCTACACTGTGTGATTCATGATTTAGTGCTTTCTTACGGTCCAGTCCATTAAGCATCTGCTCCATGCTCCGGAGCTCGCTATGTGGTTTCGAGTGTGCCGTCACTGGCGAGAGATGATGAGAAAGTGGACTTCGGGGTCGAATCGGAGAAGGTCGGGTAATACCGGCAAAATTCGGAGGAGATGAAGATTTGATCCCACTGTCACTAGAATTAGGAGACATTTCACTATGAGATTTTGATAAGGAGTATGAATAAGGGGAGAACCTTTGGTTTGACCTGCTGGGAAAAATTGGTCCTAGAGGGGTGTTTGGGATTGGCGCCGTTGGGGAAGTCGGGTTCCTTCCACTAAGTGACGACGACAGACTAGAATAGTTTGACTGCATTAGATGACTCTGTAAGGAAAACTGGTTCAATGACGATAAAGCGTGAGCGGGTATATGACTTAGATCTGAATGTCCTGAGGTAGTGAGGAATGGCATTTGCAGACCTTGTGAGAGAGAAGAGTTCCCCGAGAACAACATATGACTCATAGGGTATGGAAAACTAGATGCTGAGGATGTATACGGGTATAGGTATGGGAACATTGGGTGCGTCACTGAAGGCTGAACAACTGTTACATTTGGGGGACTAGAGTGTTCCTTTGAAAACAGTCTACTGTATCCAGGAGATCTGTCACGCTCCGGTGAACTCCTCTCACTAGATCTCGGGGAATCACTTCCGGTTTCTGGCTGTTTTGATTCGGTATACTTTTCCTCGGTTGTAGAAACTTCCGGAGATTTGGGTGCCGGTTCCGGGGTTGATGTAGCACTAGGGACTGGAGCACTTGTCTGGGTATCGGATTTTTCAGGAGTCTTTGAAGATTCCATTTGAGAATTTTCAGCATTAGAAGCTTTGAAATCTAAAAAAAAAAAAAAAAAGAAGATTTTGTTGATTAGAAATTGTCAAACACATTCATGATGAATTTTGGAAAATTACAATATGATTTTTTTTTTAAATCAGTTTGTGAGATGTATGAAGAAAAACTTCCGCTGTATTTAGAACATAATGATAACGTTTTCATCCGCTACGGTGTATGAAAAACTATAAGTAAAAGTTTCTCTATCTTCTTCGTGTCTTCATCTAAAGGAAACCGTTATTTTAAGCTCTTGAAAGAAAATCTTTTAGTGGTTCATTATAGAATAATAAATTATAAAACTGACAGAAAAAAGCTAATAAAGTAGTTCTCACTACGATTTGACTGTTCATTTAAATTTCATTATTGTTGGTCTCCGCCCATATCATGGATTAACAGCAGGGAGTGAGAAGGGCCGAGATTTCATACAAAAGAGAATTAAATACTGGGGGAGGTTTGGATCTGGAAGTGTTAAATTTGCAGTGACTGGAATGCTTTCATCATAACCCATTCAAAAGGAGGTAAATTATGTCGGAAGCAAGGTTATTTATGACAACGATAGAATTTGAGGAAACTCTGGCAGCCTTGTAGACACAGTGTCTTTTGGAATGGGAATGTATAAGTCGTCTTGCGTAATTTCAACTAAACTCGGTAGATACCGTGAAAAGTACCACCTTTGTTGTTGGTTTTAGACATTTTCTGTGCTTTGTTGTGTCGCTGTGTATACTTTGATTAAATTTAATAATCACTCAAGTTCCGGTCATTGAGACCAACCAAATGTATACATATAAAAGATTGAATAATGATTAGCGGTGATTAACGGATTTCAGTTTTTGTGTATGCTACTTATTTTATCTTAACGTGTGAGTTTGTCGTTGTAAGCTCCAAATTAGTAGTTTGATATAACGTGTAAATACAAGATAAGATGCTTGTGTACTCCTTTGTAAATAGTCCGTTTCATTCTTTTTCTCCTCTGATAAAGGTTTAAATCTTGTATCGAATAAACACCTTCCTGCCAATACGATGTGTTAGATATTATATAAGTCATGACAATAAGTGCACATTAGTAAAAGACATCTTGGCTGTTCAGTTTTTACTTGGATACAGGTTTTGGTACAGTTTTTCCTTTCGTTATCTTTTTATATCGGACTATTTTTGGTCACCACCACAAGACGGAATTTGCAAGTGCGCAAATATTTCCGTCTCCTGACAATTTTTTCCATTCCTAATTTAGTTCTGCATATCAGATACAAACTTATAAATATCCAATGTTTTCTATAAATATTTCTGCAGCTACTGTTTATAAGCCCGGACATTTTAGTCATTCACTTTTGGAAAATTTCCCATCGTTTACGCACAATGGGACAAAATTTCTCCGCGAGAGGCACAGTCGAAAAGTGCAAAGACATATTCTACAGCGCAATAACAGCTACAGAACCGTGTTTTTCCGCCAATAACATTCTTCTGCACACTATTAGGTTGTTACACCGTGGACAGTATGACGTATAAAGCTTTCTGATACGCCACTGGCACCACAGAAATAAGATTTGGGAAAAATTCTGATGCTATCCTGCAAGAACGTGTGGATTTCTCGACGTGAAACGCGCGATATCATGTTGATAAAGTCCCGATCCAAGAGAATAGCAATACCACACAGAAATGTGTACAAGATAAAAGTCAACCAGAGACGGGATAAGTATCAACAAGGAGCGATTTTTTTATTTATATCAGGAGACGTGGAGAAATAAAGAAGAAACATTTTTCTTATCAGGCGACCTCTGTTTACAGTTAAGTGAAAAGACAAAATAAATGGGTAAAAATGTGTTGGATAACGTATCTATAATTCAGCACAATCAAAGGCGAGAACCCCTCGTCTGTCATCGGCAATCATTTTCATACATTTTTTGACTTCAAGCAGATGCTATTTCACATTTAAGTTTGAAAGATTTTTCAGAATATTACAAGATAGCCTATACGTAAAGTGAAACTGAAGAAAAAAAAATGAAAATGGCTGTAGGCTTTTTGTAACAACTGTTGACAATTTGGTGTGAGTGAAGTTGTCAAGGAAAAGGTGTAACGGGAGGATGGGAAGAAAAATTTCATCAACAACACTTTAACACTTCAAGCGGAGAGAAAAAAAAAACTTGTATTTATACATTTCTCATAAAGGCGTACTTTTTTTCCTGGATGCCTTTTAGCGAAGATTTTTTTCTTTTTAAATGAATCAAATTCTATCCACAAACATTTTCTTGCTCCATTTTTCGTGTTCGCTGCCAATTATTGTGTTTATTTGAATATCTTTTTGACTCATTTTTTGAATGAAAACATTTTTGTTGAGTTTGAATTGTTTAACAACGACCCCTTCTCTGTGTACGGTTTATACTGTGTTTTTATTTTTTAACTAACAAATGTTTTAGTGTTTTCTCCGAGCAATACACAAGCTTGGAAAATATTCTTCTACTTCAGAAACACTCAATCCTTGACATTAGTAGGCAACCCATAAAACAAAATAATCCAAATGTCATTTTCTGTATTAGAGGAAGGCGTATGTATTCGTTCCAAGTCTGAAGTGGCGGGGCTTGAAGTGTGATAGTTATATAAAGAGGCTTAAAAGCTCATAACTTTAATATAACGTCGGCGCCTGTATTTCTTGTATGAAGAGCTCTACGCCAACCACATTTTATACGTGTAAACAACGTTGAACACCCTGTCACGTAAAATTTCCTTAAAATTGTATTTATTGCACAAACTTCAAGTAGATTTTAGTTCAAAGACCTGAGAAAATATTATAATTTTCTTAACAAAATAAATATAAAAAGAGTAAAATAAAAAAGACATCGTCAAAGCAGTGCATAAAACAATGTCTTTGATCCAGGATCAATTTTAAAAAAAAAAAGGGAATTTTAAAAAAAGGTCACATGGACCAGAATTTTATTTTTAAACAGGATCAATCTTAGTTCTTTTTAGCAGTGTAGGTGTTTATTTAGAAGATATGGTTTGTAAATATGTAGGCGCCGCTCGTAAGACGACAAAACTGGGAAATGTTTACCCTAAGTCTACAGAAAAAGCTTATCCACTTACTGCTGAAATAGACAACATAGAGGGGGTTTTTACATACACAGACACCACCGTTAAGGCTGTCTGGCCCTTTGCTCTAATCATGCAGATTGTCTTATCCAATTATTATTTTTATTTCCCTAGGTCCCAAGTTTTACCATGGGCGGATAAAAGAAGTATGTATCTTCCCAAACATCAGCAGTTAAAAAAAATTTTTGTTGTTTTGCAATATTTAAACTGTCATACCTGAATGTAATCTGGATAGTATGGACACCGTGTCTTCTGTGACGTCATCAGTCTCGTCAACACAAATCTCGTCATCTTCGTCACTTTGTGGATCGTCCACTCGAGATCCCTCGTCCGTGAAGGCTGACGAGGACTGATGTATAGAGTTTATCAGAAGACGTCTGTGTAATAAATAAGAAATATTCGTAATCGAATGGCCAATAAGTAAAAGGAAAGTAATTTCTTTAGTTTTCTCGTATTATGTTTTCGTTAAAATAATAAAATTTCTTTACCTTTCATAGAATCGAATGGGTTTTAAAAATTTATTTTTTAATTGAGAAAAATGAAATCTTCAAAACAAGTTTCCATTTCGTTTATATGAAGAAATTGGACATTTTTATGATAGAATTATTTTATTTTGTTACAAATAGATTCGAACATTTTGCATCTTTAACAAAAATCAATCCCGTCTGTCTTAAGAGTTAGTAATCAAATGAAATGATATTGTTTGCAGTATAGACACTAGACATTGATGGATTGTTTCAGAAATTTTTCTCTCCATGCCTAGTATCTACTTCCGGTCTACATGCATTCCCGAAAGATAAACAAAACCGTAAACATTTTTGTTAAACAGTTAATACATGATACTTAAGAATCTAATGTTTTAAAGTGCAATTTAATTTCCCCGAGACATTTGACGCGACGGGTGATGAACGACTATGAAATCATCTTTAGCGGATGGCAACCCAGCTAGCTGGTGTTTAAGACGTTTTAAAATCGAGGCGAAAAGTCATATACACAAGAGGACTGGCGCTACGACTGAGCCCGGAGTGTGACCACACTTTAATTCAAACACAATTCAATTGCTCCAAATAATCCGTTCTGATAGAGCCAACATTTTCATCCCACAGAGCGCCTTTCTGTTAGCCGGGTTACCGACTCGGCTTCCATCTATCCGGAGGAATTTCTCTCCATGGCGGACATCGTTCTGGAGGGCCTGACAGATAGATGAGACTTTTAAAGGGAATTTTAATATCTGAATATCGATGCCGGGCGTCAAAAGTTTTGTTTGAAAAAATGATAAGATAGCACTCATGTCTCTGGTCTGGGTACGGAAGAATTTCAAGCTTTCTTGAAAGATTCTGTCGTTTAGAATTGTTGGAATAGTGGCTGGTTGTCTTGTGAGCAAGACGATAGAGACATATTCACTTCTCCTTTTAGTGGTTCATTGGGTTAAATGTGTTTTATGGAATCTTGGACACATTCTCTTTCTCTTTTTTTCTCTCTCTCTCTTCCAAATTTCGACAACAAATACCCGGAATTCATCTTTATCCGCGTGATAAATTACATACAATCTATATTTTCTCTTTTCCTAACAAAATTTTCGAGAATTTGGGCAAATAAAATTTTCGGCTCATTTTAAGCCAACAAATTACGATATTCTTAATTGTGAAGGATTCAATATAATTAACAGGATAATTTTTTTTAAAAAACGTTCACATTTATATTTTCATTTGCTTAAGTTGTAAACCAAACCTTAGAGGGATTTTGATGTATTTTTGAATCAACAATAATAATCATACATCATAACTAAAAAAGGTTATAGGCCCTAATTCAGAAGGGATCTAAATTCACACGATTTGTTAATTAGTAACAAGGATAAATTGTACTTTCATTCTCAAGAAAAGGCAGAAAGGAAGAGACAAGATGGCATAAATATTTTACAATTTAAAAAAAAAAAAAATTTTCATGCTAATTTCATTACCATAATTACATCATTTTTTAAATATAGACAACAATGCTACGTTTCTTAACCAACTTAGTTTTTGAAAAATTAATTTAATTTAAAAGATTGACATTAAAGAAGCATGTTTTGAATGTACGTTTTATAAAAGTAGTAAATTTTTATATGCATATGACATCACAGATCTACATTGTATAATGTTTTGTCAAAATTACAAAAAGATCATTTTCAAACAGTAAGCAAAAAATATTAATTTTGGTTGAAAAGTATTTGAAATATTCAGAAAGTTAACGTTTTTCTGAGACAACCCTCGTATATTATCAAAGTAAAATGAGCAAAATATTTAATAAGTTTTATCTAACTCTTTGAAAATTTTCAAACCAAAAAAAAAAAACAAACAAACAAACAAACAAAACAAAACAAGTTTTAAATACATTTTTTAAAATTTTACTTTGAATGACTTGATACCAGTATGTCCTCGTTTTTTTTCTCTCTCTCTTCAACTGTTTTCAGTTAATTTAATTTGTTTATTAATCCACAGAATCGTACGAGTACATGTAAACGTCATGCGTAGCCGTGGTTATACGTGTATAAAAAATTATAAAACAAATTGAAATGTACACTGTATCCTATAATTCAAAAAATAAATTAAACCTGATTTATAGTCAAATTTGTTTTAATAACTTTGCTACAATTATCAAATATTAAAATACATAAATAACTGCCAGGACTTTATAGTTTAATTGGAAGGGAATTCTGTTTATAATTTTAAAAATAACTATATTAAGTATCTAATTTATTTATAACACATAAAAGCCCTCAAAACATTAATTTTCTATTTACTTATCAATTTCACAGTCGTTATTTCTTTTATTTCCTGATTGCTTTCTTTTGATATGATATAACGCGCAAGGAATACAGTATCAGCGTCCATTGGCCTGAAAACATGGCATCACTCAGTGCAAATAAATATTATAATTATAGGTTTTCAATTAATGAAGTTGATGATAAATGAATATTCAGCTATACGATGAAAGTCACAATGTTAATGATGATTTGACCGACGGGGCAGAAATATTCCAACGGCTACCAGCCGTCGCAAAGCAAAACGGCCATATTGCACATTATCATTGGTCATTTTCGGCCACGTGACATTTATTGTCAATATTCTTCCGGTGTCGGTTTGATGGCGTCTTTAGATTACTGGGTTCATATTTCTCTTGTAAATGCCCTTTAATGACCGGTGACGGGGGTTGATAGAGATGTCATTTGTAAACAGACTTACTTCTTTTCACGTTTTCCGCTTCCCGAGTCCCTAAATCCCTTGGCAAAAGGATTGTGATCAATCTTAAGCTGTGTTATCTGAAAGGGAGAGTAATATTTGGATTTAACAAAAAAAGCCATAAAATTAAGAAGTATATAACAAACATATATCCTTTATCTTATTTTGTTAAATGGGTGAAAATTGGTGTAGGTAACATCATTAGTGTACACAAAACAATTTTGCCAAAAGGTGTTATAGCAGTTCCTTCTTGTTTTTATTATTTTTTCGAGCACTATGTCTCTGATGAGCTTCATATTTTGGCTAAGGCGTGAAGACCCGGCGCCTTCAATAAGTAGTTTATGTATATTATTCTACATACAAACACACACACCTTCTCATTTTGGTACGCTGTGACGGCGATAAATTCCGTTTCTTTGAAGACGTACGTCCGGAAAGCAGAGTAGGGAAGCTTGAGAATGTCATTGGCCCGAACAAGATGGAAACGAGGCTGGTATTTGTGCATTGAGTTTAGAATAGTCTGAAAAAAAAAAATAAGCTTATTTCCTGAATGTACAAGATAGATTCGAAAATCAATTACTCACATTTGTGATGAATAAAAATTTAAACAGGGGTTTGTCAGATTAAACTAGGCAGGTATTTCATCGAAGATAATGATTAAGGTTAGATATTTTTATACAGAAAATATCACACAAAGTATGACAATGATTCTATCTTTAAAAAAACGGCTTTAATCATATTAAACATCTTCATGGATGCAAGCAAAGCCAAGAAGATTACTGTCTCTTGTTTCTTTTTATGTGTCTATAGAACCTGTTTAATAAACTCGTCAGCTTTAAGTCGCTAAGAGGACCCGGGGGTGACTGGTAACTCTACACGACCGAATCACGTCTGACGTAATGTTACACTTCTCCCTCCGCCATTGAAATCCGCGATTTAGCGCCTGAGTTATTATTTGTTTACAATTTAACGCTACGTAAATGATAACGTTGATACCAACACCATAAGAATATATGAATACAACTAATAACTGTCGAAACATAAAGTTCTCTTCATATCCTCACGCCACCCACGTTTATAGCCAAAAAATCTGCATATAAAACAGCATATTCTGTGCAAGACCGCCCGTAAGATATATAGTTATTAGTATTAAAAAGAAGCGCTTCTCCGTAGCTGAACCAAACAGAAACAAAGTGCCGGGTATATAACGGTTTTTCAATCAATAATGTGACATCAAAATCTGTTTCTGATACTGTGAAAATTACTGATGTCTTTCTTTTGTTTTTGGAAATTTTTTGTGCTTCGAGAAAATGTTTAGACAAAATCCAAAATTTTTTTCTTGAATAATATTTTTATAGTATATATTTCTCAAACTGTAACATAAAGTCTATTCTTTTGCAAGTCGTTTATATTTCAAAATATTGTATATTTCTAAATATTGTTTGTTATGAATAATTTTACAATAAACTTAGTAAATGTATAAATCATCTTATACATGTAGGATATTATCTGTTGCAATGTTTGATGGGAAAAAATTACATTTTCATCGATATTTTATCATTTGCTCCATAACGGTCAATAAAATAAAGGCCTTTGCTGCACTTTCAATTTCCTTTATTTTTTTCTGTTCATTAATGCTATCTCTATCAAACTTTGAATCAACTAAAAATTGAAACACTTCCATTATCCATTTGGAAGGATTAAGTGTTTGAATACTGTTTGCAGCGTATTTCTTAAATAAAAAAAAACATACTCTCTTAAAAATTATCCCCCGTGATAGACATGAAATTGTACGGATTTTTATCAACTTCTTATGCCATAAAAATCTTCCCTGATAAAACCTATAACAAAAACAGCGCCTGACTTGGTTATTATTATAATATGAAGGCTTTACATAGGGCCTGTGTGTAGGGCCCGCGGGAACCAAGAAATGATTTAAAAGTATAATGATTTACCGGTATCAAAATTGACAGCCGTTACACTGTTAAATCAGGCCACCTACGTGCTTGTGGAAAGTATCTACCTAATAAGACGTTAGTTTTATGAAGATGTGTATGTTTTTTTTTTTCGAAATATTAACAATAATTAAGTCTTGAAATAATTTCATATTTCTACAGTAATACATGAATATAACAACTGGTTCAGTGTGTGCATTAATTGACTGGCCTTGGAATATTATTAAATAGGTGAGGGCATGGAAAGTAAAAAAAAAAAATAAAATAATAAACACTGATATTGTAGACATAATGCATATGAGAGAGAGAGAGAGAGAGAGAGTCACAAATATTGAGATTAAAACACAGCGAATATACTGTATATTGATAATCAAAGTAATAGTCACGAAAAAATACGAGAAAGCCTAAATGTTGACTAGATGTTATATCTATAAATAGAAAAAATATGAATTATTGGTTTTGAGATGAACCGATATATCGATGTTTCTGATTATTAGCGACAGACTGTGTATGCACAACGTTTCATCTTAATTTGTGATAGAATGGCACCCTTTAATTAACGAATAAAATATTTAAATTTTTTTAAAAAGATCATCTCTATCTCTGTGCTCTGTAAACACACCGTGCCAAGGGCCTTTCAATTTCGTAGAGTATATTTGACAATTTGTGTGAAAATCTTCACTGAAAACAGCTTGTTTTCCGATTGTGTCGCAATGTTTCCATTTATAAACTATGAATATCATTTTAATTCAAACAGATTATTTTATTGTGTTAAAATAAAATTTAGAACAAACCTAATTACATTTTTTTCTTCTCTTGGAAAAAGTTGACCTGAGCATTTTTTTAATTGCCTGGGGTGACAGGTCTTTTTATTAGAGGGCACTCAGTCCGTCGAATCCATCAATTCACTCGTAAAACGAAAATATTATTTAATTAGTTGTCATTTTACAAACGCTCTTTAGTCGATTTTGCTGGTGCCCGCGCGTGTTGACCGACCACTCGGCGTCAAGTTAGACAGGTGAAATGTCTCCGGCGCAACACCTTTAATTTGACCAGTCCAGCCCGGGGCCCCCGGGGCTTCTGTGATCCCAGAACATCACACACTGCCGTGCTCCCCGGGCTTAGATACACACTAATTTCCAAAATTTATTTCTAATATTAATAACTGTAACATATAAATTTCATTAGATACAGCAGTTGAAATGATGTGTAAACATTTGACATAGTTCAAATCCTGTTATAATTTTGTGATCATCCAATCTCATGCTAAA